AAAAGAAGATTAGAAGGACAAGTATAGAAATAGCGTAACCTTTAATCCTCTTCTGTTGTATCGTTGGTCCTGCCATTAGCTCGTGTTCTAATAAATAATTTAATAATCATGTGCTAAGATTTTTCAGCTTTTATAGCAATAGCTTACAGTTGTCTGCAATAGTTACTTCCGTAAGATTTTGGCGCTATATCCAGACAATGTCCCACGCGTGATACCTTCTCCTCTCCTTTGTGTATAATTTACTGTGTGTCTATATTATAGAAGAATTCTCATCCAACGATAATCAAAGCGTTAATCCTGTAAAAGTATTGCATGGAAAATTATTTATTCAGTCAAATTTAAGTACTTATCAAGGAATCATATTTTTCTACGATGTGGAACTGGTTGGGGGATGAATTTTTCATCCATGCATTTGAAGAGATTTTACTTTCAAGTAACCGACATTTCGAAGTAGTAAACTGCTCCAAGCAATTTGTGAGAACTCGTATTTTAACGACACAAAGTAAAGTGAAAGCTCCTTTGCCTTACTGAATGCATTGGAGTGTATTTTCTATTTGCATAATTAGGTTTAAGATTTCACGAATGCAATTCATTGGATATCTACAATATGTACAATTACAGAAATCCGGACACCGTTCACCAGGAACAAACAAAGACCCACCGTCAATTCCTAAAACATGTTTACAGTGCTTGATGAAAACCAATAATATTAGGCAGTTTGACCACGTGATCAGGTTGACTGTTCTCGAGTGGACTGCGGGAATTCGGAGCGATTATGAGTGGAACATCCACGCTTGTTGAGCAGGTATACACAGCAAATGATTTCTACACTGCCGGCGATGAACATTTAGAAGTTTGTAAGTTTAACGTTGATAGAAGTCCATTCGGTGAATTGTTTGGTGAACTGTTATTCATGCAGGTAGACAATTCGAGTGGATCGGCGCACCGGAATGCTAGCTTTCTCACCAGAGCTGGTTTGTCAGCTGCTAAATCGAAGTCTTGATTGGGTGTTCTATCACTCTCCTGCGAAGAATCCGTAGATTGATTTACGTCCGTCTCTACATCTTCTTCACTCTCAGGAGTGTCTAGTCTTGGGATTTTGTTCCGCGGCTCGTCAGGTTCTGTCTCGTCAAAATGTACAACTATTACACTGGTGTTATCTGCACGAAGTTCTCGCTCACGCCATCTTTGCAAGGCCCGGCTTATTAACCTGTTGGGATTTAACAAAATCGAAAGCTTAAATTATTTCTTCATCATCGATATTTTGATAGAGTTAGCTTACGGGGAAACCTACGTCACCCTTTCGCCCAATCAGATGCCAGTAAAGGCTAACCAATCAAGTTATAAAGTTTTGGCCAGACCACCCATTTTTCATATTCGTTCATTTCTCACTGATTCATGAACTTTAGTGATGGGTCATTACGATTCCTTTGTTATGAATAAATTCCTTCGTTGTTTAAAATTTCGAGAGAAGAAACTCAAATAAACATAGCTTTGTAAAGGAAGTTGATATGGAGACGTATTTGAACGATTATTCTTTCGAAAACAGTTACCATTCAAAGCTTTACTCTTACCTGTGCGATACATCTCCTCCTTTGAACTGGTCATGTTTGTCAAAATTGTGGACTATTTTTACCGCTTCTTCAACTCTCATCACCCCCCATAGGCCATCCGATGCAATGATCAGAAACTTGTCGATACCAGGCGTGATCTTGTAAACTCGAACGTCAGGAACTGGGGAGACTATGAATTCACTCCGATAGTAGTCGAAACTCCAAAGATCTCCTGTACAAGTAAACAATAGAATAAGAATAATTTGTTTCTTAGGTCAGCAAATATGCAATGCTTTGAAACGCGCTGAGAAGAACCACTGATGATCTAAGTTGTCCACTTTTAAATTATTTTCAGTTTATTCTGGCGCATCAACAATCAACCACAGGCGTAAAATATTCGTAGGAGTCAAATGAAGGCGGTTAGTAGCGGTCTATCGCCACTTAAAAGATCTTTTAATGTCGTCTGTTTAAACTGCAAGCTCTTTTGTTGCCCAGAATGCTGGAAACTACATCTCCGAGCTTCTAGATTTAAACTCTTTTTCTAGGGGAGCATACCCCCAGACCCCCCTAGGAAAAAGGGGTCTTACAGTCCCTTTTGCAGGAACAGCCGTCATTTACACAATCGACAACCGCTTATCTAAATAGTTATTGACATCTCTGCGCTAATTGCTCCGTAGATTTATTTCAACATAAAGGTCGCCTGTTACGGACGTCGTGACAATGTGTCACGCTTTAAGAGCGCAATGCATTGTGGAATTGTAGGAGGACAAGCCACCTCCTCAAGATGCGGGCAATGTGGCTGTTCACACGTGATTAAAGTTGATTGTAATCCATCGAGTTTGAGCCAATTCTTGAGTCGAACCGCGGAAATAGGAGCCTTTTGAGCCTACTTTAACTTGCCATAATGTTGGATGTTCAACATGGTCCTTCGAGCCGGATGAAAACGGATTGCGATCAACGATCATACGGAAACTGAGAAACACGAGTGAGTCCTTTGAAGCCGTGATCTGAGTCTTGTGGTAAATTAACTGCGATAATCCTGATGTCTGGAAAGTTTGCGAGAAAATGGAAGCTCCGAGCGGGTCACAAGAAAAATTGTTTCGTCTGCAGAGGAAATTTTGGAAGCGTTTAATGAAGATAATCTACTGTCACCCCTCAAAAATACATTATTGAGACTGCAGAAACTCCTATTATAAGAGAAGCTCGACACGATACGAAATTTAGATCAAGAAATACTTGCAGTCTTCACCGATACTCAGCTAGATGAGGGAGTTTGTGAAGTGGACGAATTCACCTAATTTACGCAGCTTGCTATAATGAGAATCGATGCTGCCTCGACTGCAAGCCAACAGACCCCTTCGACGAAACTTGGAATCGTCGAGACCCTCCCAGGAACAAAACTGGAAACTGAAACACATCCTACTCCTTCATCATCGCCTGGAATTGTTGTGACATCCTTTGAAATACATCTAACTCTCTCAGCCCCTGAAACACATCTATCTATTTCAATATCGCCTGAAGTTGTTTTTGCGGTTTCAGGAGGCGTGGCGCGAGTTGTTTGCGAACATTTGATTTTGGGAGGAATACAAGCTGTCCGATTTTCGTCGGATTTCGCCAAAACATCCCAGGAATAATGACAAACGAAAATTTGTCGGGAAATTTTGTTATTTAAAATATTTATCCCGTGGCGTTCATTTACGCAACACGCCTCTCATATTTTTAGCTAATCCAACTTTAGATGCCGGTATCTAGACAACCGATCAGAATATGGGGAGCAGTTGTGCGTCCTGGACAAAACGAAGCACAGTGCAGAAGTATTCTACATTCTGGATGTTCCAGAGCTCAATTCGCTCTCCAACATGGTATTTTTGGGGACATGTGAGCGCTATCTGCGAAAAACTCTGTCAAATTTGATTAACACACCGAAATTACGTGCAAACGTCTCAAACATGATTGCTAATCACAGGTATTTTTTACTTACCAAGTGCTCTCGAAATCGCCAAAAACGGTACAGATTCTGTTTGGGTGCTTCTTCTGACAGGGCCTTTGTGTCCATGATGGACGGGCCTTTCCCAAGCCACTCGCGGGACACCATTACGAGAGAGGACCTTTCCGCCGAGTGACTCTATCCGATTCTTTTCCGAAGGAACGTCGGGCTTGTGGTCGGCAGTGAGAGGGACCGCTTGTAGTTTCTTTTCTTTACTCAATCGGCCGAGAGCAGCCCCTGAATCGCCCACGTGAGCTATGTACAGTGTTCTACCTTTAAAAATAACAACAGTTGCAGTGGTTCCGGATGTGCTTGGCAGTCCATGTCTTGTACGAGGCCAAGAATCTAGCAGGAAAAAAAACGTTAAAAATAATTTTATGTTAAATTTTCTTGCAGAGGTGATGCGTTGAATTGTTTTAAATGAACCTTAGGCAAACTGTTTTTAAAATAGGCATTATTTTCCTTTCTTTTCTGTTATAAAGCTTATAAGCAATGGTAACATTGCAGGAAACATAGAAAAGTGGGGATGAGGGTTGGGTGCACCGGAAAAGCCGAAGTACCGTAACATCTGCGAAAGGAGAATGATTAGAATCTTTGTGCCCTTCTCGGTACAAGGTACAAAGGAACAAAATTCGACCAAAACGAAATCGAAAAAATGAAATAAGATACAGTGTCTAGACTATCGCGGAAAAAAAAAAATTCGCTTCTTTCCCTTTCTTTGTCACTTCAACTCAAATGACCTTGGGTAACATTTGCTGGTGTTATGTGAGCTGATTGATCACCTGTTCCTCAAGTGATCACAGACATCTGACAGACCACGGACTTGTTAATGTGAAGTGTGGGAAGCAAAAGGAAAACATAGGCATGCGTAGCATGCAAAGAGTTATTTTCATGCTGGGTGAGTTGAGATGGGACACTGTGTGTACTTAATGTTTTCATTTTTGTACCAGAAAAGAGCATAACTTTTAAAAGAACGAACGTGATGGAATGTAAGCTGTTTGACGTGTGCTTTGTGATTAAAGGAGAGGAAAACAACGTCTTAACTTAAAATTTAAATGCGAACTTTCATATCCCGATAAATCTCGACCTTGATCGACGAGGCTCTCGCGAAGACCCAAACTTTCTGGCTAATGTCATTCTTTGTGCACAGCCCCTGATCCAGGACATCATTTACAAGAAAACAATACCCAAACGCTGTGATTGGTGCAAGACATCCAAATATTGTGATATGACAGGTGTAAGATACATACCCTAATGCGGCAATCTGATTGGTGCGAACAACATACCACTCTAAACACTAAGTTAGAGTGATTTATTTTTTTAGAAAAAAAAAAACTCATAAAGGCAGCGTTCGGAGCAAAATTAGCGAATGAGAAGTTCACATCGACATTTAGTCAAATTAATTTGGCATTAATGACTGAGTTGATAACGTAAATTTACCACCGTTGATAGTTTTGAAGCTGACATTTCGAGCGTTAGCCCTTCGCCGCAGCGACTGACAAACTACCTTGTTCTGCTTCCACCGACGCAGCACCGCAGTTTCTTTAGAAACTTACTCTCTTTATTCACTTGGTCAAATTGGCCCGTCTGAATTAAATGTTAATATGGGTAGGTAATTGTAAAGACAATTTTTATTAATTTTGTCTACACAAAATTGTTTGGGTGTGTGCGTGTGTTTTTTAACTAAATATTTGCCCTCTGGGCAGGGCTTCTGTAAACCAAATTTCCCTCCTTAGCTTTCGGAGGTTAAAATTTTACGACAAGCGCATTGACGAGAGCGAATGAGGATGTTCAGGAAAATTAGGCGAAATGAAAGGGAAACAATGTTCAAGTGCCGAGCATTGATTTCGTAAATTGCTTCGTTTTGTCGATGCATGTTTTTTTTTTCTTTTAGGGAGATAGTGCGTGACCGATTGTTTTATAATCGAAGTTGATCGACAGGTGTCAGCCACAAGCCTATTTTTCAGAATATTCAAAACAGTACGATGTATATTTCACTTCCGGTGTAAAACCAAAATCTAATCGTTTTCAAACTTTTTCCTTCCGGCAATATATCAAATATTCCGTTTAAGCCTTGTGTACATTCATGTAAACTCAATATCAAAAATACCATGACGTAGCAATCATGCAAAACATTTTACTAATTTAATCAAAATATTTCAGTTGTGTAGCTTCCAAACAGTTCCTATCGTCTCAACGTATATGATAGCCTGGGGGATCGGACACTAAAAAACATCGCAAATCTTTGTATTTTTATGATAAGGGTCGTTTTTGAGTGCTTCGTAAGTTTGTATTCGCAAAGTAAAATTGCTCTCCTTCAAGGCTTTTAAGCGGCGAAAGAAGCATGTTTATTTTGCATATGAAAAGCGAACAACGGGATATAAAATTACTCTCTTCTCTGCGAAGCGCGTCACGAATTATTAATCGGACTCATAATTTTGGCGGAAAAAATACGAAGTGTTGACTTATCCTCGATTTTACATCGCTAACGGGGAGAACAAGATAGAATGGGGTCGATCGCGAAAGCTTTTCACGCGGGAATATAAATCGCTTCAACGAGAAGGAAATACAGATCGAAAGTACTCCATACTCACCGAGTTGTTTCCACATCGCGCAATGTGTAGCCATGAATCCATCCTTGATAGCTTTAATAACACGTGATGTTTCACCCGAGTAAAATCCCTTCTGTCCCTTAATCATGTCCCATAAATGTTCCCGGGCAAAGTGTGCAGCGTCCCTTCCACCGTGGCCGTCGAAAACCGCGAAAAATGCCTGTTCTGGATCGCGATCGAACTGCACGCGTTTAAAATCTTCCATTTCTTTCCGACCACCTTGGTTAGCTTGGCCATTTACTCGCACAATAATCTTCCTGGTTTTCGTTTTTTTGGACATTTTCGTTGTGTTGTTCGGTTATACTGCGTTTGCCATGCAAAACTTCGGCGAGTAATTTGTAATTTGCCCGCTCTCATGAATTATTCATATCTTTGTCTGAAATAGACAGCTGTTCATTAATTTGTCAGCTTATTTTCAAATCTGGCCAATCACGGCACGGATCACTCGGGGTATAAATAATAAATTTCTGGTAGCAGCCAATGAACGCACATGTTGGTGGAATGGCCTCAGGTCACACAAACATTGTACGCGCTCAAACTTGCCCCGAAACAACGACTGAACGTCAAACCGTGCCGTGATGTCATAACCCACAATTTCTACGAATGTGCGAGCAAGTCTGCACTTGCCTGGATTTCGATTTAGACAAAAAAGAAAGGTTCTAAACATGCCCGAATATCTGGAATTGCATGGTTTTTTTAAAATTGGCTAGATATCTAATTGCAAACTTTATTCAATCTTTGTTCAAACTCGGTTTTTGGGGCCGAATCGCAAATTCTTCACATTCAAAAAGTGTATTACTAAATAACAAAAATATTTCTTTTTCAAAAAATCGATTGACCGTGACTATCTTGCATGTGAAATTTGATATACTTCTGAGTTGCCTTTCCAACAAAGAGGTTCTTGCTTGTTGTGACGATTCCCCTCGTAAGTCAAACCCCGGAGATTTATCAATTGCGAACTCTCAATCGTAGGAAATATATTCAAACGGTGCGGCTGATCGCTGGCATTTTGCGGCATCATGTTTTGGTTTCGTCATGGTTTGGTGATGTAAAACAAGACGCCCGCATTGAATAAACGGGAAAGAGATGGAGTGGTTATATTCTAAGCCAGATACGAAAGGGTGAATAATTGGTCAAAAAGGGTACAATACACACAAGTAGATGTGTCTGGCCTAGTTCTTTGAATGATGAATACGCTAACCATTGAATAATTGTCTGTTCGGTGGATAGTGCAACGATTTGTTATCAATTATCCAATGGTTCAATGGATAGCGAATTATCTGTTGGATAGTGCTTTGTGCCTCAAAACAACTGGGCCCTAGACTAAGGGCGAAGCACTCCTTGCGAAAAAAAAAATCTGCCCCTTCTCCCCCCTAGGGAATAGACCCATAGGAGGAAACTAAAAACAGCTGGCCAAGCATAAAGCGGACTTGTAAGTCCATATCAAGACAATACGTGATCAGGCATGCCTTTCTCTGGCAGCAAGCAAAACGGAAATGCCTCCCAATGAAGCCTAAGAGAGAGCCTTCTTCACCAACTTAGCTTGTGGCGCGAATTGTAGGAAATCAGCAACAAACAAAAAAAAAAAGAGAAAAAACAGTCAGCGATTTCTGTCGCTCCATGAGTTCTCTTTGCACTACTTAATTTTTTCTCTGGCTTCTTCTCGCAACTTCAGACATCCCATGTACGTCTCGGTAGCGCGAAAGAGTATATATTATGGGCGGTGCGTAAAGCCTTTGTAACTTCCTTAATACTGCCACCAGGCTTCCCGCAACCCGCACAACCCGTTGCCACTGAGCTTTTATGTCGCACTTGAAGGTCGCGAATTATAGGTTTAACAATTATAGAGATGACATGATCCCATTGTCTTTTAGGGCCAGTCAATGTCTCCCTGAGCTTTTTAAGATTTGCATCATGGGATAATTGTTTGAGTTGTTAAAAAGAGTTTCTGTCCCATAATCAAAATCACGCTTTCGTCAGGAGACCAGATATTGCCTCGGGTAACCTTTTTCGCTGTACAAATTTAATCATAAAACCTATTTCATGTGATTTGAAACTTACCGGATGGGAGGGGAGGGAAAGGTAGTAAGAATCCTGGAGGTTGAAGATCGTTTTGCATAGAGATGAAAAAATTGGAAAGTTCTCGGAATTATACTTTTGCTTTTAAAGTTCTTTCCTTAGCTGAAGCACGTGCTTGCTGCAGAACGGGGGAAGGGATATCAAGTTCAGTGCTTTTTAGCTTCAGGTCCCCTACCCTATTCTGTGAGCAGCGCCTCCCACCCCTCGAAATAAAACACGATTTTTTTGTGGGAGGGGCTGGCTGCGCATAGGGTCACAGGCAAACTGAACCCCCACTGACCCACTCAGGGACTGCTTCAATGCGTCCTCTCTTCCCACTAGTTCCTAGTCCTTCTCATCTCAACTTTCACTGGTGATTTTCCATTCGATTTGTCACATTAAAATTATTCGCTAAAACAATGTTTCTCCGACAAGCATACGGCCGACTATCCAATGCATTATCTCCCAACGTCACAGGTAAAGACACTTTTTAATTCTAGTGTAAAATTATGCATGCGAAAGTTTGTTGTGATCTGGAAAGGTTCGTCACAAAAGCTTCCCCAAGTACCAGCTATGTTTGTATTTTTTCTTGAAGGACTGAACTATCTTAAGACTTTTTGAAGCCTAGCATTTAAATTCCAAGACTTAGGGGGGTAATTGTGGGTGTATTATGTAAAATTTTACATCTTTTTTTGAATTCGAAAATGGTTTGGCTTTTGTTTTGCCAATTTCCCAAAATGTTCAAGCGTTACTTTCGCAATCGTGCGCGTGATCTTCCATATTCCCTGATTTAATTATCATCACTTGAATTATCCTATTGTTCTACCAGTAAAGTAGTTTTCTTCTGTTTCGATCGACCGTTATCTAAAACTACTCAGAGCACGTCTGTTCTGCTTTGTCGGTGTAACATTCCAGGGTAACTCTCAAGGGATTTTTTACTAGTAATATTTTTTGCCAGATACAGGATAGCATGTAAATAAAACACGTGGTTACTGAATTTGACACCTGATCACGTCTTACACCATAAGTAAATTTTTAACCTCTCAGGAAGAGAAAAACTTCAATAATTGCATGACTCAATGATTCCAGTCCTAGTATAATTGATATATCTCTCAACTTCAGATAACAGACAGGAAATCTTTCCCCCTCCTGCCACTCCCATAGAAAACCGTCTGTCAGTTGTTGATGGCAACATGATTTTGTATGAAGAATTCTTCACTCAAAGCTGTGTACATCCAAACAAAAGAAATCTTGGTTTTGAAATAAATTTTCCAGAACAATGGAAAATCTACTCCACAAGTTCTTTTGTCTTCCTTTAAACTAGGATTTTTCATAACTTTCAGTTTACCAGCATATCCTTACAACATTACTTTGTATTAAAGAAGATAATCCCATGAAATGTGGTTAGCTTAGTGAAGCTCATGATTGTGGAGTCTAGGATAACTATAAACCCATATCAAACTTGACCATAAACATAGGGTCTAATGTAAATGGTAAGTTTGAGTAAAATTCAATTTGTCAAAAGTTTTTTTCTGCTTCTGCCAAGCATCTAGATATTATTACTATGGATAAACATACTAATGGCAGAGGAAGAAGTGCATTTGAATTCAATGGCCATGATGATGTCTAACCTCTCTCTAGTCATCTATTATTCATTCTTAAAAAAAAAAAAAAACAGAAGGGAAAAAACCATACAAATGGAAAAATTCAGTATTAGAGAAGATTGGTTGGAAGGGGGATTCCCTCCTTCTCCATATTCTTGATATTATGTTTGTCTTCTGTGTTTTATGTTAACCAAGTATTAATTTTGTGTTTCCCTCGGTCAAACATGAACTTTAGACACCTTTAATATTAAGTTATTAAGATGGGTGAATTTTTATGGTTCAACTAATGAAGGATTGTCAAAAACTATTTTACAGAAAAACTTGTTGCCCGGTTTAGTTCATCAACTTCAGCCTCCAAACCCAAGGTAATAAATATTAAGAGTAACAATTCTTTAACTCCTTGAAGTAATTAACATGTAACCTCTCCCTAAAAATATCCATATGTTATTCAGCAAGCAGGTATTGAGAAAACTTGAACTTATCAGCTAATAGTTGTTATCATGACATGACACCAAATTCTCGTAACTGATTTACAAGGAATGTGTAGCAACTAGAGTTGAGAATTAATAATCAGGTCTTGGGAGTCAAAGGGTTAACATTAACAACCAAAGAGTTTATGGAGTAGTGCTCAATATGACACCTGTTACAAAAGTGTGAAGGAAACACAAATATTTAAACATTGGTTTGGTTTTTGTTTTTAGAAAACAACCCAGTTGAGAAAGATGCTGGAATCACCAGAACTAGAATTCATCATGGAAGCACACAATGGATTGAGTGCTAAAATTGTACAAGAGGCTGGTAGGTTGGTAATACTTAATATGATCACCCACAGTTGTCCCTAGGCACTGGCTACTGGCAATATTCACCTATTGAAAAATGGGCAAATTGGCAGCTAGACTTTTAGGTAGTGATTGCTATGTGAAGCACTTGAAATTTTCAGCCAGTAGCTTAATTTCTTAGCTACAACCCTGATAATTTGATTAAAAAATTAGATAATATAATTAGCATGGCTCTACATGTCAAGCCTATGTAGTCACTTAGGGAATTGATGATTATTTTAAGGAAATAAATTCACAAGGGAATGAATCCTTTTACTTCCCAGACCAATTAATCGTTTCTCCTCTATGTTATAACCTCAGTCAGGTATTTCAATAAGAGCTAGTGATGGGCAATGTCCGCCATCAATATCAAGCAAAATTGCCGCCTATTTTCTCTAAAATTAATAATATTAGAATAGAGGTTGAACTTCTATTAGCACTGTCAGTGGCTTAAATATATTTGGTTTGGTTTTTTTTCACCACAATAATCCTTGTATTGTTTCTAAGGAAATGACACTACAGTGATACCATTTTTCAGGTTTTAAAGGTGTCTGGGGTAGTGGTTTGTCAATCTCTGCCCAGCTGGGAGTACGCGATAGTAACGAAGCATCTTGGACTCAAGTCATGGAAGTGATGGAATTCATGAGTGATGCCACAGACATCCCAATATTACTAGATGCTGATACTGGTTATGGTAACTTCAATAATGCTCGACGTTTGGTGACAAAACTTGAACAGAGAGGTATTGCTGGAGCATGTATTGAGGACAAGCTTTTCCCCAAGACGAACTCTTTATTAGATGGCAGAGCACAGCCACTGGCTGATATTGATGAGTTCTGTGCAAAGATCAAAGCTT